TGGGCTGCAATGCAGTGGTGTGATCTTGGCTCACTGCAACCTCTGCCTCCCACGTTCAAGTAATTCTCCTGTCTTAGCCTCCCAAGTAGCTGGGATTACAGGTGCCCACCACCACACCTGGCTAATTTTTCTATTTTTAATAGAGATAGGGTTTCACCATGTTGACCAGGCTGGTCTGGAACTCCTGACCTCACATGATCCACTTGCCTCAGCCTCCCAAAATGCTCGGGTTACAGGTGTGAGCCACTGCATCTGGTCTGTCTTAAACTTCTTTGATTAAATTTATTCCCAAGCATTTTATTCTTTTTGATGCCATTATAAACTGAATTTTTATTAACTGCATTTTAGGATTGTTTGTTGTTAGTGTAATGCATTACAATTGGTTTCGTATACTGATCTGTGAGTAGGAAAACTCAAAAGTGTTTTTTCTGTTCTCACAACAATCAACACAGAGCACTTTTATAACCAAATGTGGGGAGTGAGGGGTCTCCCCGACACACACCAAGCAAGCAATCACTTCTGCAGCAGACACCAGCTCAGTGTACTCTAATTCAATCTCAACATTATCTACCTGAAGATAGCATCAGATCCCACAGGATGAGGGCTCAGTCCCCAAGACTGTCCCCACACTTTCTACTCCCCCACCAGCCAACTTCCAACATCAATTGCAAGCCCCAAATTATTTTGCCTATGCTTCTCACCAACCAACTATAAATATTAATTCCCATAACTCCCCCCTCAGGTTTGATTGATTTGCTGAAGTAGCTAACAGAACTCAGGGAAACATGTTTAATATAATAAACGTTTATTATAGCTTTTTTTTTTTTTTTTTTTGGAGACAGAGTCACTCTGTTACCCAGGCTGGAGTGCAGTGGCGTGATCTCAGCCTTCTGCAACCTCCACTTCCCAGGTTCAAACTATTCTCCTGCCTCAGCCTCCTGAGTGGCTGTGATTATAGGTGTGCAACACCACGGTTGGCTAATTTTTTTTTTTTTTTTTTTTTGTATTTTTACTAGAGACGGGGTTTTGCCATATTAGCCAGGCTGGTCTTGAACTCCTGACCTCAAGTGATCCACCCGCCTCGGCCTCCAAAACTGCTGGGATTACAGGCATAAACTACTGTGCCCAGCCTACAAGGGGCTTTTTTTTTTTTCCTTTTCAACTTTTATTTTAGAATCACGGGATATATGTGCAGGTTTGTTACAAAGGTATATTGCAAGATGCTGAGGTTTGGGGTATGACTAAACCCATCACCTAGGTAGTTAGCATAGTACCCAATAGGTAGTTTTTCAGCCCTTCCCTTTTTCCTTCTCTACTCACTCTAGTAGTCCTCAGTGTCTATTGCTCCCATCTTTATGTCCACATGTAGCCAAAGTTTCACTCCCACTTATAAGTGAGAACATGTGGTATTTGGTTTTCTGTGTCTGCATCAATCTGCCACAAAAAAAAAAAAAAAAAAAAAAAGCCACAAAACACATTTATTAGTAAGGAAAAAAATGCCACAAAATACATTTATTAGTCAGGAAGAGAATCGTGCATCAAGATTTAAGGCAGAAAGGGAAAAGCTAACTCTACTGTTTTGTGCAAATGCAGGTTTATTATCAGAACAGCCCTTATCTATATAGCAGCTAACCCCTGAGCCTTGAAGGGAAAAGATAAATACCAGCTGCCAGTCTTTCGACTGTACAAGAGCACCTGAACAATCAGAACCCTTTTTCTGGATTGGTCCAACCAATGATGTTGTGGTTAGGATATACTGGCACCAGGCTTCTTGTACAGGCTGCAGAAATGTGAGCCAAATAAAAATTTATTTTCAAGTTACCCGGCCTCAGGCATTTCTTTATAGCAACATGAATGAACTAAGAAAGACAACTGGTACCAAGGAGAGGGTGGTTGCTATAAAGATACTTGAAAATGTGGAAGTGGCTTTGGAACTGGGTAATGGGCAAAAGTTGGAAGAGTTTAGGAGGTTTGATTTCATGGACTCACAGCTGTAAGGAACTTACCTTGAGTCTCAGATGAGGCTTTGGACTTTTGAATTGATGCTAGAACAAGTTCAGACTTTGGGGATGGGATGATTATATTTTGCAATGTGAGAAGGACATGAGATTGGGGGTCAGGGGCAGAATACTATGGTTTGGATATGGTTTGCTCGACCCCTACCAAGTCTCATGTTGAAATCTGATCCCTAATGTTAGAGGTAGGGGCTTAATGGGAGATATTTGGGTCAAAGCAGCATATTCTTCATGCATGTCTTGGTGCTGTCCTTGCTACTGAGCGAGTTTTCACCCTATTAGTTTCCCCAGACTGATTGCTAAAAAGAGCAATCAAGGGGCACCTCTTCCCCCTTCTCTTGTGTTCATGCCATGTAATCTGTACATTCTGGCTCCCCTTTGCTTTCTGCCATGAATGGAAGCTTCCTGAGGCCCTCATCAGAAGCAGATGCTGGTGCCATGCGTCTTGTACAGTATGGAGACAGAAGTGACTTTATTTTAAATGCTAATCCACCTGGCTAACCTTGAGTCAAGGAATGCCTCCAAAATGTTTAGTTGATGTATTACTCTTTATGTAGAAACACCTATTCGTTACAAATTTCCTCCAAAACAATCCTTGTTGCTGCAGAAATCGTACACTGTGATTCCTGTAGCCACCTATACATTCTTATCAGACCACCTATACTTTTTCCTAAGATATAATCCCTGGGTCTGGCGGGTTATGGGGCAGAGATCTACCTGTCTTGCAGCCACCCAAGACCATGCTTCCGTCTGTAAATTCCCTCAATAAACCACACAATACTGACAAATTGGATTTGTCTACCTTGTTTTCTCAACTCCTTCTGGCTTTGAATATATGGCCCTTTCATCGAACATGTAGCTTGCAGAACTGTGAACCAAATAAAACCTCTTTCTTTATAAATTACCCAGCCACAGGTATTCCTTTATAGCAACACAAATGGACTAAGAGAGACACTTTGTCCCTTAAGTCAGAAGTACCTTGCCAATAAGGGACTATCTTTTAAAGTTCTTTTGATATTGAACAATGCCCCTGGCCATGCAGAACCACAAGAGTTCAACCCTGAAAGCGTCAAACACAATGTCTCTAGTTTAGCCTTGAGATCAAGGGGTCATAAGGACCTTTAAGGATCCTTACATATGGTCCTCTATGAAAAGGACTGTCAACACTATGGAAGAGAACCCTGATAGAACATCACGAAAATCCGAAGGTATTACATTACTGACGATGACACTATTGTTAACAGAAAAACCCATGAAAGTCATCAGGCTCAAAACAAATTCCTGCTAGAGAAAACTGTCCAGATGTTGTGCATGACTTCACAAGATTTAACTTAAGTTTTGGGGGAGTCAAAAGTTGTATATAAGTTTTAGACTGTATGGGGGGGTCAATACTCCTAATGCCTTCGTTGTTTGGGGATTAGCTGTACTTGCCAGTGCTATGTTGTAATCTTAACTGGTACTTCTCCAAAGACAGAAGAATATATTTCCTCTCTAGGTTTCTTCCACATTTTCCTCTCTCCAGCCACTGTCCTCATTATACCAAAAAACGTCCAAAGATTAGTATACATTTAACATAAATATTTGTAAGGCAGGAAAATATGTAAATACCATCCTATTTCAATATTTGGATTTCTTAAAACACCTGTATTATTTTTGTACTTCTGGATAAAGTTCATATGATGTATTCCTTAATATGACACATTTTAAGCAAAATAAGTTCACATTAAATCCATTTTATATCACATTTTTACTGCTTTCGCTTTAACTATGACTATGCCTTTAACCATGACTTTCTCTCCTGTCAGTACCTTATCCTAATTCAGTGTTTCTTGACTATTACGTCTAAGGAGATTTTTTGGTCACCCCTTTTCCCTAAACACTCCTCTCTCCTGAAATTTTAATACCATAGATACACTATATATTTGTTACGGACTGTATGTACATCTGTGCTTTACACATAAAGAGGGGTTTGGATCATAATCCCCAAAGACACAATCCTGAATGCCATAATCCTAAATGTTGAAATCCTGAAAGATCAAAGTCCCTAAACTCTAGGCTGGGTGTGGTGGTTCAAGCCTGTAATCCCAGCACTTTGGGAGGCTGAGCCAGGTAGATCACGAGGCCAGGAGTTCCAGACCAACCTGGCCAACACGGTGAAACCCCATCTCTACTAAACATATAAAAAATTAGTAGGGAGTGGTGGTGCACACCTGTAATCCCAGTTACTCAGGAGGCTGAGGTAGGAGAATCACTTGAATCCGGGAGGCAGAGGTTGCAGGGAGCCAAGATTGGGCCAGTGCACTCCAACCTGGATGACAGAGTGAGACTCTGTCTCAAAAATAAATAAATAATAAATAAAGGCAAGACTCTTCATATAAACATTCATTAGTACACAATCTGTGCATGTTATTCAAAGGCTTCCTGACCAAGGGGAAGCTCTTTATGCTTCAGTTACTCTCCTAAGATAGGAACAACAGTACTATTACCAGTGTGTTGTTTGTGTAAAATGACATTATAAATATGAAAGTGACAGATACAGGTACTGATGAACTTTACCATTTGGGACCTGGTCATAGGAAAAATATTTCATCACTAGAATCTGTCTCTCCCATCTGTGACTTCAGCAGAAAGAAACTGCTGCTTTGATAACTTTCCTAACTCCACTCTAGTTTTTACTATAGGTCTTTGAAAATTGTCAGATGGATCTTAGAATTAAGCCATTTCTCTCTGTTTACAGAAGAAGTAACCTGTTGAATGTCAGGGTTCACGTCTGTCTTTGTAAGTCTAGGAACTTTGATATCCTGCTTCCCAAGTCTGGGAATTTTCACACTGCACCATTTTACTCTGTACCCTTAACATCTTGCCCAAAACAGCATATCCAATCAGCACATAATAAAAAGAGAAAGTGAAGAAAAAAATGAGACAACATTTTTCCTTTCATACTTGCAGGCTACCGACTGTATTTAGTGAAAGAATAAGAGACTATACTGTAAGAGTGGACATTTTTATTTTACAAATGAAAAAGCAAAATACTGCTTTGAATTGACTCTTAAGTCACACTCTGAATTCATACCATGCAGTTAAATTTTTCCAGTTCATCAATTAATTCCACTGAAAACAAGACTAAGCTTCTGTCTGTGGAAGAAGCATAGACCAGCTTTAACCACGATGACAATCGCTGGTAAGACTAAGCAAAGGAAGTGACTGTATCTCTGTTTCAAATTCTTTTTCTTCTTGGGCACGTTCTCCATGGCCATGTGAAACTTAAAACAAAGATTGCAACTGTCCTGGCCAGAGAAGGTGGTTAAAGCTGTGTCACAGAGAATTGCAGATTATACTTCTACCTTCATCCTGTGATATCCATGTCTCTCAGAGAGGTCTGGCTAAACCAGGATATTCTTTGCAATAGCATTCAAAGTCCTTACTTTGGTCACATCCGTTACCTTTAGGGAATATTCCGAGCAAGAAAGTGAGGCTCCCATGGCAACAGATGAATTTCTGTGATAGAAATAATAAAGGAACAGATAATGATATGTTATTAAATGAGCCCTCCTACTGCCGCTTCATTTTATAGACTACTTCATGATACAAGGGTAAGTCAAGTATGCTAGACTACTATATTCCATAATTTTCATCAATTAATTACTTGAAATATCCAGCAGCTGAATCCACCAGACAGTATACTTGATTTTATATCAGGAATTGTTAAGTTCTAAGGCTCTCGCTTCTTCTTTTTTTTTTTTAATTACAGGCGCGTATCACCAAGCCCAGCTAATTTTTTTGTATTTTTAGTAGAGATGGGGTTTCGCCATGCTGGCCAGGCTGGTCTCGAACTCCTGACCTCAAGTGATCCGCCCGCCTTGGCCTCCCAAAGTGCTGAGATTACAGGCCTAAGCCACCTTGCCCAGCCATCTTATTTCTTTTACATTGTGTTTTTCCCAATTTATAAACAGAAACATTCAACTACTATTAAATTGTAAGAGTCCTCTTAAGTATTTAAAAAACCCCATATAATAGTCACAATTTCTTAATGGTAATATAATTTCAAAATAACTGAAAACAGAGAATAAATGTGAGGGAAGACTAAGCACTAAAAGTAGGAGGTAGAAAAATGACTATGACTCTTCCATCCTTACACCATAGTTATTAACTTTGCTACAGGAAATCCTAGGCGAGTGGGCACATGTGCATATCTGACTCATTTGAAGCTCAACCGTGGAATTTGTTTGCTATTAACTGGTCAAAGTTCAGCAATGCCTTCACAAGGCAAGGTTCACCTATGTTCAAAGAGCCTGTTTATTTAAGACAGGACACGAACCATTTTAGAAATGTTTTTCAACTATAAAAACAACTATAATACTTATGTAGTAGTCACAACATTCCATTGGTTAATCATGCCCCCATCTAAAGTTTTTCTGTTTGGGAGAAAGTAAAAATTAATCTCATCCTTCTTATTTGAATCGTAGAAAACATTTTTACCGAAACTTCATTCCTGAGTCTCTAGTAGACCGAGCAGAACAGTGGAATTCTGTAGCACCTGAACCCTCAAGGATCCTTTGTAGATTTCTGTCTGTTATACCACCTCCTGTTGGAAAGAATAAGTAACACATTAAGTAAAATAGAATTTTGCATAAAATTTAAGGAATAATGACTGCTTACTTTACTTGGAATCATCAAACTAAATTTCTCATTGATTCAAAAATTAGTCTCTCCCTACCAAGTTAGAATGAGATTAGAAAAGTGATAAAAGATATATAGGCTACAGACTCTGGGGAAGTACCATTAAGGTTATAGAACATGTATGATAGAATCTTATCTGTCCATTGGCTAATACAACAATGCTATCCCTGCTTGCCCCTCAATTAAAGCAAAATCAAATTAAAAAGAAAGGTAAGGATAGGTTTGAGGAAAAAAAATCTACAAAAGCACAACCTCAGAGATGTGCCTAAATGAGAACCTCTAAGGTTCTGTCTCTAGCCCCGGATGTAAAGACTACATTGACTTCATCGGAAACAGGAATAATGCAAAGTATTATACAGGTTATTAGTTACGATATCAGCTTTATACTTCATATCACAGAAGAATCTGATTCTACTTTATTAAAACTGTACCACCAAATGTTTTATGACATTTGTTTTGATGAACAATCTTTTAAATATTTATAAAGAATCACATTCTGAATTGATACCAGTATATCATAAATATGAAATTAGTTTATTCATCTTTAAATCCTTATCTCCCTATAGGATGTACTCAAATTTTAAAACTATGTACTTTGTATCTCAAGCCATTAAAGATGCTGAAATAACCTATCTTTACACACTCTTTCAGACTCATTAACTTGTCTTTTTTTCCTTAGTGGTACAGTAATATCACTGAGCCTTAAGAAACAGAGAAAAGGCTAGGTGTAGTGGCTCACACCCGTAATCCCAACACTTTGGGAGCCCGAGGCAGGAGGATCACTTGAGTTCAAGAGTTTGAGACCAGCCTGGGCAACATGGTGAAATCCCGTCTCTACAAAAACATACAAAAATTAGCTGGATATGGTGGCAGGTGCCTGTAGACCCCGCTATTCAAGAGGCTGAGGTAGGAGGATCGCTTGAACCTGGGAGGCGGAGGCTGCAGTAAGCTGAGACTGCACCACTGCACCACAGCCTGGGTGACACAGTGAGACTTTGTCTCAGAAAAAAAAGAAAGAAATAGAAAAAATACAGGCTGAGTAGATTTAGACTGGCTTTATCACTGTAGCTTTTCACAGCTACGTGATCTTAGACAAATTATTTAAATCCACTGACCTCAACTTTTTCGCCAATAAAAGAGGGATAATACTGCCTACCTCACAAGCTTATTGTAAGGATTAAGAGACAAATATATTATTTCCTTCTATTCCTTCTAACAAATAACAAAACATTTGGCTACTGAAACACATGTTGCTCAGTTATCAGCAACTTGAGTACATAAGTAATACATCTTTCCACACTCAAACTAACACAGCTCTATGGTTAAAAAGGATCCCACAGAACTAGTTTAATATTCTTCTCTTTATAGATGAAGAAACCAGGGTCTAAATATGTTGTAGGCTTCATTATGAAAGTTCCTAGAGGGCAACTACCTCTTTGTATTTCTCAATGATGAATACTTACTAGGCATTCAGAATGACTTACCTAGGAGTTTTTACTTGCTGGTACTTATTCACATGAAATTGTAATACATTTGTTTATAAGTCTATTCTGTGAGCTCCTCAAGTAGGATTACTTTATTTGTTTTCATATCTATCACACAATTAGCATATAATATATATAACTGTCATATAATTAACATTTGCCTGATAAGGTTTGTTAAAGAAATCACAAATATTTTTGTATTTAACATCTTTTGACCTGAGTCAGCTTCTTGAGAAAGTGGTTTCTTGTGTAGCTTTGCATCCCAAGTAATGCCTTGCACATAGCCGATAACAATTGCATATTAAACAAAGGTACTCTTAATGTCAACAATTGTCTAAGTATTAGTTGTCAAAACTATATATATTTAGTGCTAAATGGAAAAGCATCACACTCAGAGTCTCTTTAACATTCCTTGATTAACCAAAAAGGACCACAATTTGACAGATAATATATACTTTCTCTTTGCTCATGTTTCAGGGACTTGTTACAGGTCAAAAGCCTTCCTAAATATTTGACAATACCCCTTATATGGCCTTTTTCTTTTTTTTTTTTTTTTTTTTTTGACACAGAGTCTCACTCTGTTACCCAGGCTGGAGTGCAGTGGTGCGATCATAGCTCACTGCAGCCTTGACCTCAGGGCTCAAGAAATCCTCCCACCTCAGCCTCCAGACTAGCTGGGACTTCAGGAGCACGCCACCATGCCCAACTAATTTTTTTACATTTTGGTAAAGATGGTGTCTCACTATATTGCCCAGGTTCACAGCCTCTTTTTAAAAGTTACTCTTTATCTAGGTCAGTCTTGATATCACTAGTAGTGAGATGACGAGAGACTGAATACCTTCTGATGTGATGTCATATGATGTAATACGCAGAATCACTCATAAAGTATTCTTACCAAAAATGTTTAAGCAGTCTATTCGAGCCTTATGATTTAACTATTAGTTTATAGGATATACAAAGGCATGAGGAACAAGTTAAACAATATCAAGAGGAAATAATCTGATAAATCCAGAAAGTAGTACATTTTACAGGGTAAATGATCCTAACTTTTTATTATATTTTGAGATAGAGTCTTGCTGTGTCACCCAGGCTGGAGTGCAGTGGTACAATCTCAGCTCACTGCAACCTCCGCCTCCTTGGTTCAAGTGATGCTCATGCCTCAGCCTCCCAAGTAGCTGGGATTACAGGCACATGCCACCATGCCCAGCTAATTTTTGTATTTTTAGTAGAGACAGGATTTCACCATGTTGGCCAGGCTGGTCTCAAACTCTTGACCTCAGGTGATCTGACTGCCTCAGACTCCCAAAGTGCTGAGATTATAGGCGTGAGCCACCGGGCCCAGCCCAAACTCTGTAAAGTTTTTAAAGCAAGAAAAGTAAAAGGAAAAACATCTATATTAAAGATATTTTAAAAGATAATAGAACTGGGAATGGCAGTGTGCAACTGTAGTTCCAGCTACTTGGGTGGCTGAGGCAGGAGGATCGCTTGAGGCTAAGAGTTCAAGTGCAGCCTGGCCAATATAGCAAGACCTCATCTCTAAAAACAAACAAACAAAAGATAACCAAAAATGTAATGCTTGTTCCTTGACTAGATCCTAGTTTGAACATATCAGCTATAAAAACCATTGCGGGGACAATCAGAGAAAGTTGAGTATTAAATGTTTATTGTGATAGGTGTGACAATGGAATTGTCGTTATGGTAACATCCCACCCTTTTAAGAGATATGTAAAGATAAAATGTCATGATGCTTTCAACAATTTAACTTTAATAAAATACCTCAGGATAGAAGAAAGATGAGACAAATTTGGCAAACTGTTAAATCTAGGGACTGAGCATATGAGTATTCATTATGCTATTTTCTACTTTTTTTTATATGTTTGAGAAACTTAATAAAAAAATTAAGACTGTCTTTACATTTGTCTTACTCTTCTAGGTTGTACATCTAATTCTTTAAAAACTGCTCCAACTGTTCATTTCTAGTTAGCCATTATGAACTTAACTGATCTCATGGTTATCATCAGGATCATATGATTAAATTCTGGTTACAAGAAATAATTTGGCAATCAGAGATTTTCAGGAACTGAGAGAGTATTATATTTTACCTAAGGATGTTGCCTAAACCTTTGCTTAAACCCTGTTCATTAGGACATTTGTCCTAAACAAAATTTGATTAGCATCAAATTTGATGTGCCTCACCAGAGATGAACATCCAAATTCATAAAACTCTATATAATGAGAGAGCAAATATGGAGAAACCTCAATCTCTACCTACTTCCTTATTCGCTCCTCTTTGAGCTAATCCCTATTAGAATATTTTCCTTCTTATCTAAACTTTTAAATTCTAGCACAGATCTCCCAGTCTTAAAAATTTTTTTTTTTTTTTTTTTTTGGGGGGCTCGCTCTTTCGCCCAGGCTGGAGTGCAGTGGCGCGATCTCGGCTCACTGCAAGCTCCGCCTCCCGGGTTCCCGCCATTCTCCTGCCTCAGCCTCCCAAGTAGCTGGGACTACAGGCGCCGCCACCACGCCCGGCTAATTTTTTTGTATTTTTAGTAGAGACGGGGTTTCATTGTGTTAGCCAGGATGGTCTCGATCTCCTGACCTCGTGATCCGCCCGTCTCGGCCTCCCAAAGTGCTGGGATTACAGGCTTGAGCCACCGCGCCCGGCCAGTCTTAAACATTTTAATCAAACTATATATTCTTCTCTTTGAAGATCATATACTAATATGCAATGTACTAATACTCTCTCTCACATTTTCCTGCCTCCTTTGCTCTTCCTCCACTACAGTTCAGTGTTATGCTAGTGAATTGATAGATAAATAAATACCTGGCATTACCACAATCCTGCCTTTTGCCTGAAAAAAGAAAAAAAAAGTAAATTTTAATATCTTTCTCTTGAATGGGATAATAAGGCAGTGAGAATAGAAACATAAGTCAGAATATATTAAATTTTAAAAATTACTATTAATGTTTAATTTTTACTAGATCTTCTCTATTTCTTTGGGATCTTGGATAAGATGTCCAGCATAGTAAATTTGTCTCTAGAAAGTTATCTTTCCAAAAAGTCATTTTTCCCCCCAATAAGTGCCATTTTCTCCCTCCCCTTCACCTATTAAGATGGTATATAAGCCCCGAATTCTGAGTCGTATTTCTTTGTGAACTTCTGTATGTACTTACATATATATGTACTTATGTATGTGATAAAATCTGTTTTTACTCCTGCTAATCTGTCTTTAGTCAGTTTAATTTGCAGGCCCCCAAATAACAAACCCTGAGGACAGAAGGAAAGTTTTTCCTCCCTGACATGGTGAGTAAGAGAAAGTTCCTGCTCTCATGGAGCTTACATATTCAAGGAAGACGAGACAATGCACAGGGATATTTATACAATAAAATTCCCGGTAACAATAAGTACAACAAAGAAAAAATAAAGCAAGGTAACAAAAAAGACTGAAAGAGGGGAGTGGCTATTTCATATAATTTAAAAATTGTTAGAGAAATAAATGGAACAAGAATGTTTCATATTCTCAAATGGTCTGAATAAAGCATCCATAAGACAAAACATTGATTATCTAAAAAGCTGAAATCACTTCAGAATGGAGGTCACAGTTGCCTGTTTCTTCCAAATCAAGGCTTTCCAAAACATAGAGAAATAATATTTTTAAAGAAATGAATTCTACCACTTCTTTTTGCCTTCCCCACATGATTATTTAGAAGTATATGCTTATCTAAGGCTATCAAAGTGGTTTAATAATACAGAGCAATCACTGAGTGTCAGATTTAATAACATAGAATAATTACTAAGTGCTAAAACCTGAAGAAATCCCTTACAACTATTCTAGGAGGTAGGTGTTATTATTATCCTAACTTTGCAGAAGAGCAAGCTGAGGTTTAGGATGGCTAGGTAATGTATCCATGGTCACAATTAACAAGCATCGAAGCCAGAGTTTAAACACAGACTTGTCTAATCACAAAGCCTATGCTTTAACTAGTATGTTACACTACTAGGTAGTTACTTCAGTAAAGTTAATGTATGAGAATATTTGAGTAGCTCTTCCTACCAACCAATGATTAACATACAAATGACAGACATACACACACACACACACACACACACACACACACACACTTTGAAATGCAATACATTACTATGGCGATTATATCTTATTTTCTACTCCTTAGTGAGTAACCTTTTAAAACTGGAAATCCGATTCATCAACTCTTCTGTTTTAAAACACTTCAGGCCTCCCCGCTGTACCATAAAAATAAAAACTTTAATAAGGTTTTCAAGGCTCTGGATATCATTCTGTCCACATTCAATATTCTGGTCATTCCTCAGCGTTTTAAGTTGTCCTTGCTTTTGTTTATAGCCCTTGCTTACACTATTTCTTCTGCATGGAACAATTCCGCCAACACTCCCTTCACCCTCACTCCCACTGCCCCCAACTTTTACACAGATAACTCCCAAACATCCTTCAAATGAGTAAAACACTGCAGTTTGGATGTCTCTTCTTTTGGGAAGCTTCCTCTAATTATTGCCAACCTTCATTTCCCCAGATTTGGGGTTAATTCCTCTCCAATGTACTCCTATAGTACCTTTTAAAAACAGAGCGCTATTAAAATTTCCTGCTCTATTAGAAGTGCCTGTTCTGCACTAAATTGTAAGGATAGTGACTACACACAGACACTGAGCTTTTGGTTACACCCACAGTACAAATGTCCTGCACCTAATATATATTTAATAAATGTTTGTTAAACCATTACATCCCAGAACAGCAAAGTCACATCAGATCTTTAGGAGAAATTTCTGAAAATTATTTTCATGGCTACAGAAAAGTGAAAATAACCAGATGTCTATACAGGAACATTAATATTATTAATAGCAGTAATAATAGAACCTAACATTATTAAGACCTACTGTATGCCAACCACTGTACTAAGCCTCTTACACATCTCATCTTTAGCAATCTTCTGAGAAACTCTAAAATTAGTATTAAACTCATCTCAGTTTCACACAGGGGGAAAGAGAGGCTTAAAGACTAATAACCTACTCAACATCACATAGCAAGTATCAAACCTGACTCTCAAATGCTCAACTCTCTCATCCCAAAGTCTGTACTCAGTAACTTATAATGCCTCTGGACTGGTGTCAGAAAAACACAGACACACTATAATTACAAAGTCACCTTCTGAGTGCTCTACAAATGATGCTAGCTCGCCAGGAAAACTCATAAACTAGAAAAATATATTTCCTCCTATATTGGCAGATGAGAAGAAGTAAGATTATAATTTTAGTTTTGGAATTTACCTCCAGATGATAATTTTACATGGGATCCCCTGAATATACACGGGCTGACAATGAAAAGATATGGCTTAAAACTGCAATGCTGGCTGGGCGCAGTGGCTCATGCCTGTAATCCCAGCACTCTGGGAGGGCAAGGAGGGCAGATGGCTTGAGCCCAAGAGTTCGAGACCAGCCTGGACAACAAGCAAGACCTTGTATCTAAACTAAAAAATAAAAATAAAAAATAAAAAAAACTGCAATGCCAATGGCAAAGAAAAGGTAAAATCTGCTGTGTTTATCCAAGTTAGATCAGATCTTTAGGCACTATCTATATATAATTTGATCTTGAAAGCCTTGGTTATTAAAAAGACTTGTGTGAAAGAAGAATTATATACATTATTGCCTGCTTGCTCTTTCCTACAGAGTAACCACAAAGTCAGTAATATATAGTCTCACAAATTGGCTAAACAGCAGAATGTCAGGAGTAACCACAACAGAGTCTTAGGCGAAAAAAAGATAACGTCCATATACCTGCTCTATGAGTCGCTTTATTAGGGGTAGCCCTTCTAATGCTGAACTGTCACATCCACTGGTCAACACTCGTTCAAATCCCAAGGTTAAGAGGGTCTCCAGAGCTGCCATTGGATCATGAACCATGTCAAAGGCTGAAATAAATAAAATTGATGTGAATTTTGAACAGGTATCTCTTAATGCAGCGTTTCCCAAAATGTAGTATACATGCAGTGGCGTGCTGGACCTAGCTTATACTGGCTTACAAAGGTCAATTATTAAATACTCAAGAACTCTGCAAGTCAGATTGTTAATCCAGTGGCAGCCTGAAATCAGTGAAGGTAGGGCCAGGTACAATGGCTCATGCTTATAATCTTGGCATTTTGAGAGGCCGAGGTGGGGAGATCACTTGAGCCCAGGAGTTTGAGACCAGCCTGGGCAACAGGGCAAGACCCCATATGCACAATACAAAAATTAGCTGGGCATGGCGGTGTCCACCTACAGTCCCAGCTACTCGAAAGGCTGAGATGGGAGGATCACCTGAGCCTAAGGGGTCGAGGTTGCAGTGAGCTGATTGCACCATTGTGCCCCAGCCTGGACGACAGAGCAAGACCTTGTCTCAAAAGAAAAATAAAAATTTAATTAATGATAATAAAAAAAATTAGAGAAGGTAGAGTATTTAAACCACAGAAATTTAAAAATGTTACAAATCAGCTGTTTTTTCTAAGAGCCAGTTCATCAGCACACCATAGTCTACATACCACCACTGTGCATAATCATTTTAATAATAGTACACATTTAAATAGTGTATTTACTTAAATGCAGATAAGAAATGAAACGTTTTCCATTTATAGTAGTTATAAGTTTCTATTTAAAATAAATTTACTTAAGTTTTTTTTTTAAACTTTTTTTTAAGTTCAGGGGTACAAGTGCAGGTTTGTAATACAGGTAAACCTGTGTCTTGGGAGTTTGTTGTGCAGATGATTTCATCACCAAGGTATTAAGCTTAGTACTCATTAGTTATTTTTCCTGATCCTCTCCGTCCTCCCACCCCCACCCTCCAAAAGGTCCCAGTGTGTGTTGTTCCCCTCTATGTGTCTATGTGTTCTCATCATTTAGCTCCCACTTATAAGTGAGAACACGTGGTATTTGGTTTTCTGTTCTTGTGTTAGTTTGCTAAGGATAATGGTCTCCAGCTCCATCCAAGGCTCTGCAAAGGACATGATCTTGTTCTTTTTTATGGGTACATACTTAAGATTTTATTTAAAGAAAATCATTAAATAAATGTGCACAGGTAGCACTCACATATGGTAAAATTTTAAATGTGACAGGCAGGTGAGTCAGATTTGGGAAACTGTTCTAAGGCGTCAGAAAAATTGGACTAGGTAGAATGAAACACTATACTCACCAGTTCTAGAAAAGGCTTTGGCTCACATTCTCATTACTGAGTAATATTTTAGACTAATCTATTAACCCCACATACTCAAGGTTCATAGCATAAGGATAGTTGTTTTCAACAGACTATATGAAGTTTCACTTCCATCCTACTTTTTTTTTTAAGATGGAGTCTTGCTCTGTTGCCCAGGCTGGAGTGCAGTGGCGTGGTCTCAGTTCACTGCAACCTCCGACTCCCTGGTTCAAGTGATTCTCCTGCCTCAGCCTCCCGAGTAGCTGGGATTACAGGCACACACCACCACGCCCAGCTAATTTTTGTATTTTTAGTAGAGATGGGGTTTCACCATGTTGGCCGGGATGGTCTCAATCTCCTAACCTTGTGATCTGCCCGCCCCAGCCTCCCAAAGTGCTGGGATTATAGGGGTGAGCCACTGTGCCTGGCCCCATCCTACTTTCTAAGAAACTTCTCCCCTCCTCAGAGCCCTCAAAGAGTAAAGTGGTATCGGGAAACTGAAAACAGAAAACCTCCTTCTGCTTTGGTTCTCACACTGTTACATGATATTGAAGTTCTCCTGCAGTGGATTAGGTGGCAGTGGTCCTCTGGGACAGGCTCCTTCATTTCACCCTTTAGTGTATGTAGGCAACTAAATCTACCACAGAGGATTTCCTTGTTTTGGTGGCAGCACCTTCTCACCACTATAATAATATTATGCTATCTCATTAAATATATTAGTAGAAAAATGTGGAATCCCAAAACTCTACAAACTTTGAAAATATGAAAATATTTTTGTTAAACCTTTTGGAATAAATAAAAGAACAGAAATTTGAAGTAAAAAAATTGTTTATGACTGTAGACTTCTTTTCACGTGCAATGGCAGTGCTCTCTGAAGGCAAAACAGACACTTGTTCTTCCATTTTACCAAGGTGTAGCCAAAGGGTATAGAAATTATAACTACCTGATTTTTTTTTTTTTTGAGACGGAGTCTCGCTCTGTCGCCCAGGCTGGAGTGCAGTGGCGCGATCTCGGCTCACTGCAAGCTCCGCCTCCCGGGTTCCCGCCATTCTCCTGCCTCAGCCTCCCGAGTAGCTGGGACTACAGGCACCCGCCACCGCGCCTGGCTAGTTTTTTGTATTTTTAGTAGAGACAGGGTTTCACCGTGGTCTCGATCTCCTGACCTTGTGATCCACCCGCCTCGGCCTCCCAAAGTGCTGGGATTACAGGCGTGAGCCACCGCGCCCGGCATAACTACCTGATTTTTTGGCTAGGAGTGGTGGCTCATGCCTGTAACCCCAGCACTTTGGGAGGCCAAGGCAGGTGGATCACAAGGTCAGGAGTTTAAGAGTGGCCTGGCCAAGATGGTGAAACCCTGTCTCTACTAAAAATACAAAAGTTAGCTGGGCACGGTGGCAGATGCCTGTAATCCCAGCAACTTGGGAGGCCGAGGCAGACTGCATGAACCCAGGAGGCAGAGGTTGCAGTGAGCCGAGATGGGGCCACTGCACTCCAGCCTGGGCGACAGAGCAAGACTCCATCTCAAAAAAAAAAACTTCCTTGTTTTTTTTTTGGGTTTTTTTTTTTTTTTGAGACAGAGTCTCGTTCTGTCACCCAGGCTGGAGTGCAGGGGCTGGATCTCGGCTCACTGCAAGCTCTGCCTCCCGGGTTTATGCCATTCTCGTGCCTCAGCCTCCCGAGTAGCTGGGACTACAGGCGCCCGCCACCTCGCCCAGCTACTTTTCTGTATTTTTTAGCAGAGACGGGGTTTCACCGTGTTAGCCAGCATGGTCTCTATCTCCTGACCTTGTGATCCGCCCCTCTCGGCCTCCCAAAGTGCTGGGATTACAGGCTTGAGGCACCGCGCCCGGCCGGAAATATTTCTTTATAAGAAACCATCACATTAAAAAATCATTGTGGTGCAGACAAGCTATAATGAAAAATAATTTTGTCCACTATAGTGGACATCTGTTCATTGACTAGATAGTCAACACTAGACAGCATCTGTTCTCCTTTCTCCCTTCCTAATAAGATCCAATTCTTCTCCAGATACCCAACTTTCTCTCCCCTTAGGAAGTCTGTATCTGTGAAACTTCACCTCACTGCTAGCCCCAGGGATGGTTTTGCCTGGCTTAAGATAGACAGTACTTTTCGTTTCACCAGCCACAACGATTTATTCTTTTGGGGTTGCACATGACCTTGCACATGACCTAATACAATCTTAGTTAAAATGAGTCTCAGGATTCTTGCTTGGAATGCTGTAATAGGTATACACACTTGAAGGCAATACTTACTCTCTCCTTCTCTCTATTATATCCCACCACCACCAACACCCACTTTTAACAACTTTTCATAACTAAGGCTTCAAATTTTCTAGAAATTGCACATCTCTACTTTTATAGCTTTTAGTCTCAGAATCTAAAAAAACAATTGGTAACCTTGGAACACCACAGAATTGTGTTCCATAAAAAGGTTGTGGCAGTTGTTGAAATTAGAAAACTAACACTGTTCAACAGAACTTCTAAAATGAAAATGACTCACCTCGGTGGAAAGTGACTGGCAGAGGGCGGCAAATAGCTATAAAGAGAGTCATATAACAACATGAATGAAGATGTCATCACTGATTACTATATATAGAATTCTTCATGTTAGCTGAAACTTTTTAATACTTTCTTCGCCTAACAAAACAGTAAACTAACATAATAAAATGTCAGCCTTACAAATTCAAAAGTCGTATCTTTCCACAAACCTCTGATTTTTATATAAAAAATGGTCATGCCTTAGCACCAAATGGAAATCATTTAATCTGACAACTGTAAGAGCAGCATTACATCTATCACTTGCCTCTCTGAGGTCATTCGATAAATACTTTGGTCTAGTAATACAGGTAGTTTGCTTCTGTCCTCTTCACATTTTCCAACTTGGTGGTCCATCCTCACCAACTATAATAGCTTTTGAAGTTCTTGGTGCAGTGATTAAAGGAACCATGGTAAATTTCCCTTAAATTTCTATTCTATGGGAACAGTAGCAGAACCTAATCTATAGCAATTGAGGAGAGTTAAGAAGGCTTTGCCACACATACATCCCACCCCAAACATCTAAGGAACTACTATTTGAAACACTTAGGTTAGTATAAGTGCCTGCAGCTATGACTGCAAAGTTGGTTTTGTGGATGTTTTTTAATATTGTGAGCAAAAATACAATTATCATTAGAGGCTTTTAGGTCTTAGATACAAATTCTTACCCATAAGGGACATACACAGCTCTTCGTCAATGTGTCCATCTTCAGTCAATGCCCCAAATACCAAACCATCAGCACCATAAAGCTTGGCAAGACGAATGTCAGCCTTCATCACCTCAATTTCACGATCTGAATACAAAAAATCACCTCCACGTGGCCGAATCATCACAAAAACTGGGATCTGAACACTCTGCTTCACTACTTGAAGGACACCTACAAGAAAAGAAAGCAGACTAAAATTTAAATGTGAGCTAAAAGCTCAAGGAAGCCAATGATATATTATTGGTCATTTACATCTGCTCTTGTATATTACATCCAAAAGAAAAAGGTGGAGTTTAAGGAAACCAGAGAAAGACGGCTCTAAAAGGAAGGAGGACACTGAGAACAAAAATGTATATGTGGTAGAAGGTAAGTAATAGCAATGGGTTAAACAGACCAATTTAGAAAACAGAAGATGTTACAATTTAAAAACACTTATCAGTTGACTCAACAAAAATCCTTATGACTCAGAACCCTTTTATTGGTATGTGACATTTGAAAGTGTAATAACTACCAGGCTCAATGTTCTGCCAGTACGCAATTCCCCAAGATCCAATTTCTTCTTTCTAATTCATTATAGCTCTTTTTAAAACCTACTAGGGAGATGGTTAAATAGCTTCAAAGTTCATGTTCCTTTAATGGGCAAAGACATTTAGAAAACTTTTTTTTTTTTTTTTTAACGAGATATGTGAAAGAGAGCAAAGTTCTACTTATTTGTGATTTTATGCAGAGATCTATGCATAAAAGTACCTAAATATGCCATAATATGTGGCTAGCTCATAAACCATCAATAGTATACGGCTGTGACAGGCTCCATGAGTTGTTTACCCAGTATGAATTTCCTTCTTTCTTCTTGCTAAAAGAACCCAAATTTTGCATAGGATAGCAGTTGTCCAATACCAAGCAAGGAATCATAATTGGTGTTACAAAAACAGACTGTACTCAAATTTACAGACATGCTCTAGGGATTTTAGAATGGCCAGGAATGCCCTCTTTTAGTGTGAAGATTCCAAAGGGCTGTTGCATATACAAATCTTTTACATTAAATAATGCTATTATCAACCTCAGAGTAGCATAACTTAGGAGACTACAATTCATATAGGGACTTCTGCTTTTGGCCAAGACAGGGTAACAGTGACCGGATTTTACCCTCCCACCTATAATAATAATAATAAAGAAAAAACTAGATGAAATATATGAAACAATGGTTTGCAAGACAATGGACATTAAGCAGTGAAGGGCAATGATCCTTGAAAATGGTAAATTATGAAGTTAGTAAGTCAATTCTGATTGACCCAATTTACTGCCTTGAGAGTTTCTAGGACAAAGCACAGGGATGGGGGACCCACACAGAGCCAAAACAATTCCCTGAGTTAAGGAGACAAAGCTGAGAGTTCAGGAAGACTGAAGTAGCTAGAGTTTATAGGAGAAAGTACCAGGAGGACAGAAAGATAACACTGGAGTAGCAAAGACTACCACAGTGATTTAAAAAAAGGACTTTTTAAAAAAAAGATGGGCTTGGCATGGTGGCTCATGCCTGTAATCCCAGTGCTTTGGGAGGCTGAGACAGGAGGATTGCCTGAGGTAAGGAGTTGAAGACCAGTCTGGGTAAAATGGTGAGACTCCATCTCTACCAAACAAACAAACAAACAAATTTAGCTGGACATGGTGGCACATGCCTGTAATACTAGCTACTTGAGAGGCTGAGGCAGGATGATTGCTTGAGCCCAGGAGTTTGAAGCTGTAGGGAGTTATGGTCACCCCACTTCAGTCAAGCCTGGAGAACAGGTGAGACCCTGTCAAAAGAAAGAAAAAAACAAAAGGAAGCAAAGAAAGAAAAGAGAAAGAGAGAAGGAAAGAAAAGAGAAAGAGAGAAGGAAAGAAAAGAAAGGAAGGAATGAAAGAAGAAAGGAGGAAGACAGATAGATAACTCTGGAGGTCTGCAGAGAACCTCCTTTAACATTCAGCTGAGTACTGACTGGTGCATGCATGCAAAGAAACTACTCAAGGCCTGGGACAGAACCAATAAAAAGGATTAGAAATGATGTGCCTGTCGTTCATATCAAGCTGTGAATAATGCCTATTCCACCAGCCAGAGGAAAATTTCAAAATTCATAGGTACTGGGTAGAATTCACAGAAGAATCCTGACTTGGTAGTAAGGAATAATTAGCTCTGTATTAACACTGCTCCAGACTTGCCCAGCAAATCTTAAAAGCAAGACCCAAAAGGACCAAACTGTTTTGGAACATTTGTGCGAATTCAAAAATGTCTAGTAACCAATAAAGTAAAATTCACAATGTCTTGCATCCAATAAAAAATTACCAGGTGGCCGGGCGCGGTGGCTCAAGCCTGTAATCCCAGCCCTTTGGGAGGCCGAGACGGGCGGATCGCAAGGTCAGGAGATCGAGACCATCCTGGCTAACACGGCGAAACCCCGTCTCTACTAAAAACACAAAAAATTAGCCGGGCGAGGTGGCGGCGCCTGTGGTCCCAGCTACTCGGGAGGCTGAGGCAGGAGAATGGCGTGAACCTGGGAGGCGGAGCTTGCAGTGAGCTGAGATCTGGCCACAGCACTCCAGCCCGGGCGACAGAGCGAGACTCCGTCTCAAAAAAAAAAAAAAATAAATTTACCAGGCAGGAAAATAAGATATATTATTAGATGATAAATCAAATGAAACAAACCCAGAACTGATACAGATGTTAGAACTGGCAGACAAGGTCATCATAACAGCTATTGTAACTTTATTCCACATGTTCAAAAAAGTTAAGAGACATCAGAGACATAAAAAGACTCAAATTTCTAGAGATGAAAACTACAATGTATGAGATGAAAACATACTAGGCAAGCCTAATAGCAGATTAGATAGTGCAGAAGAAAAGGTCAGTAAGCTCAAGGACAAAACAACAGGAACCATGCAAAATGAGACACAGAAAGACCTTTTAAAATAGAGAAGTTCATCAGTGACTTTTGGGACAATTTCAAGTAGTCTAATGTAAGCATAGCTGAAGTCTATGAAGGAGGCAGTGGAGAACAAGCTGAAAGCTGCAAGCTGAAAATTTTGTAAATGTAATGAAAAGTATAAATGCACAGGTTGAAGAAACATGAAAAAAACTATACTCAGGTACATCATAAGAAAATTGTTCAAAACCAGTAATAAAGAAAAAATCTGAAAAGTAGGTATAAAAAGAGACATATTACATAGAGAAAAATAAAGATATGGATGATAGATTTTTTGTCAGAAACAATACAAGCAAGACAACAATGGAAAAACATCTTCAAAGACAAAAACTGTCAATCTAGAATTCTATACCCAGCAAAAATACCTTTCAAAAATAAAGGAAAAAGCTATTTTAGACATATAAACGTTGAAAGAATGCATCACTAGCATAGTTTTTAACAAAAAAAGTTAAAGAAAGTACTTCAGGCAGAAAGAAAAAGAAACCAGATAGAAATACGGGATCTACATAAAGGAATGAAGAATACCAGAAATGGTAATTTCATATGGGTAAATATATGATTGTTTTCTTATTATTTACATCTCTTATTTAATAAAATATAACTGACTCTTCAAACAAAACTAACAACATAGCATGGAGTTTTTGATATGTGTATGAGTAAAATGTATGACAACAATAGTACAAAGACCAGGAGGGGATTTCAATATACTGAGGATGCCAGCATGTAAAGATTTTATAAAAGCCTAATCCTTGATGTTACTGCAGAGCAGCTGAACCAGTATTAACAATTACTGACCTACTTTTCAACTTTCTGATGTGAGAAAGAAATATGTGTGATCAAATCTTTGATTTTGTTTTTTACTACCATAAACATTTCTGATACAACATCCATAGCATAGTTTACATGACATTAGTAGAGGACCCAATGAAACTAATTACCAGTTGCTTCCAGGTTCCATGAACTCCAACCAGAAAATCTGGGAAAAATGGACACTTACCCATGCTGGGTGTAGTTCCCCCCTCTGATAAACCAGAACATAATTCAATCCGATCAGCACCTGTAATATAAACGCATTGCTCAGCACATTTTAAAAAAATAAGCTCTTATTAAACAGCAAGCTGTTGATATGCATTTTTTTCCCAAATACAGAACAGTCTTAGAAATCATCTTAGAGAAATCAGATTATAAAACTAGAGTAAAACTCTGTTTTTAACTCAGTTATACTCTGCAGCCACATTGTGTTACTCATACTCAAACTGAAGAGTTAACTACAATTAAGCTAGTTCTCTTAAAATTTTGTATTATAGGGTTGCCTCTCTAGCTACAGGAAACTAACATAAAATAAAGATGTTTCTTAAAACTGACTACAGAGGAATACTGAGTCTTTGTTGATAAGAAAATAACATAATCTTTCCCAAAAGGGTCTTTATTATTGTACGCTTTAAAAAACACAAAGCTACTTTTGAGTAGCCAAAACCAAGACAATTTCAAGAATAAGAAAATGCTGAAACCAAAAGAATTATTAGGCTACCAAGGTCACATCAAAAGATCTCAGGAACCAGCTTGAAGAAGCTCTCACTAGCCACAGATAGAACATTTTGTTCATCAATAAGCAGAATAACTACAATGGATTAAAATACATAAAACATATTTAAATCTAGATGCATAATGACAAAACAATTCAAGGGAAGATAGACAACAAATTCATTATTCTAAGAATTATTATAATAAATAAGGGAAAAGAAGCAAGCATTTATTCTGCCTTTCTTATACAAACTATACTTCAGCATAACCAAACAGATGATGAGGGGAAAGTTCTTTACAGAAGTATTCTAGTTCATAAGCGAAAAATAATGTCACCACTTTGCAACCACTACTAAAATATGGGTTGCTAAATTTATTAGTGAAAAGCTGACAGAAAACCTTAAGGATAGATTAGGCTGGCAATACCTGAACTCCCTTTAATATCACAAAAACAGAAAAAACCAACACGTTATGTCCTCCTGATGTGATGCAACTTTTTTTTTATAGTCTTACCTTCCTTTCTCAACCTCAGATTACTTTGAAGCCAATCCCAGACATCATGTTATTTCATTTTAAATATTTCAGTGTGTGTCTCTAAAAAATAAGGACTCTTAAAAAGGTAGCCAACTGTCATTCATTCTCTAATTTCTCTTACCTCCTCTTTCTGCATTCACAGCTGACTCCACTGAATCAACACAAACTTCCATGAGAAATCCATGTGCTGCTCCTAAAATAGATGGAGAACGGTAAGAGTTCATAAACGCTCTATCCATCCAGACCAATTGACCACAAAGGGTTTACATTTTGCTGCCAAAATGCAAATGTCCAATAATAGGCAAATAGGTAAGTACACTAGGGCCCATGAATGCAATAAAATATCACATTAATTATTGAATTGATGCCTGTAGACTGAAATAGGCTCACTGACAGATGTATAAAAAATTATACTGAGGAAAATGTATATTGAATACCAAATTAATCTTCCTAAAACATAGACCTCATCATCACATTCCAGCTAAGATTCTTACAATGTTTCTCAATGTCTGCAAAATATATTTAAACTTCTTTATAAGGAATATAGGTTTAAAAGCAGGACAGACTTCAAATCCACGTCCCACCAACTATTTATTGTGAGATCCTAGATAAGTTACTTAAGTTTCCTATAAAACAACCTACCTCAGAGTAGTGAGGATTAAATGAGATAATTCATGTAAAGTATGCAGTCTCAAGAATCAAAAAGTAAGCCAAGCACGGTGGCTCACGCCTGTAATCCCAGCACTTTGGGAGGCCTAGGACAGTGGATCACGAGGTCAGAAGATCAAGACCATCCTGGCTAACATGGTGAAACCCCGTCTCTACTGAAAATACAAAAAATTAGCCAGGCACGGTAGCGGGTGCCTGTAGTCCCACATACTCCAGAGGCTGAGGCAGGAGAATGGCGTGAACCCGGGAGGTGGAGCTTGTAGTGAGCCGAGATCGCACCACTGCATTCCAACCTGGGCGACAGAGCGAGACTCTGTCTCAAAAAAAAAGAATCAAAAAGTATTACTTATCTGGCTGGGTGTGGTGGCTCATGCCTGTAATCCCAAGCATGAGGCCAAGGCGGGTGGATCACATGAGGTCAGGAATTGTAGACCAGCCTGGCCAACATGGTAAAACCCCATCTCTACTAAAAATAGAAAAATTAGCCAGGCATTGTGGCATCCGCCTGTAATCCCGGCTACTTGGGAGGCTGAAGCATGAGAATCGCTTGAATCCGGGAGGTGGAGGTTGCAGTGAGCCAAGATTGTGCCACTGCACTCCAGCCTGGGTGACAGAGCGATACTGTCTCATTCCTTCTTATGCTTTCAGACCTCTCCAGTCCCTACCGCTGGCTCCTCAATGCCTTCTCCGCAACCCAGAGTTCCTTCTGGCTCCATCTTTGAATAAAATTTTCCAAGGAACATTTCCATGATTTTTTTCTCTCTCCCAAAGTAGAAAATTTTATGTCTCTCTTTTGAACTCATTTAACTCTTCATGAGTTATGAAACCCCAATTGTTCCTTCTTAAAATATGAATTACTTTCTACCTTTTATTATTATGGAGATAAATATCTGATCACTTTTACTCGACTTAGAGTTCCTAAGTTGTTGTTGTTGTTTTTTTTAATAGTCTTGCTCTGTCACCCAAGTTAGAGTGCAGTGGCATGATCTCGGCTCACTGCAACTTCCACCTCCTGGGCTCAAGCAATTCTTGTGCCTCAGCCTCCTCAGTAGCTAGGACTACAAGTATGTGCCACAATACTCGGTTAATTTTGTATTTTTTGTAGAGACAGGGTTTCGCCATGTTGCCCATGCTGGTCTCAACCTCCTACACTCAAGCGATCTGCCAGTCTCGGCCTCCCAAAGTGCTGGGATTACAGGCATGAGCCACCACGTCTGGCGTAAGTAAGGTCTTCATGTGAGAAATCTTTATCATCACCCACACCAAGCACAGTATCTACCATGGTACACAATAATCAAATATTTACTAAAAGCTGAATAATTACAACAAAATTAATGTACTTATATTACAAAGTGTGATGTAAACAGAGTTTTGAGTTTTTTTCCAGGAGCACATAATTTTAAAAAATGAACAAAACAATGCACACTTCACGCAATGACATTTAATAAATGTTCTTCACATACTGGTAACGGCCACTTCTGGTGGGGCATGATTTGAAATTATTTTTATTTTCTTTTTACTTTTCTTTATCGCTTTATTTTTTCTACCCAATATTGCTTTTATAATTTAAAAAAGCAATTTTTACTTTGAAAAAGAAATAAAACAAAAACCTATCATCTGCTAACATCAGACTGCAACTGCCTTATGCCTTACTTAAGTCCCTGCCGGACGCGGGGGCTCATGCCCATAATCCCAGTACTTTGGGAGGCCGAGGCAGGCGGATCACCTGAGGTCAGGATTTTGAGACCAGCCTGGACAACATGGCAAAACCCCATCTCTACTAAAAGTACACAAATTAGCTGGGCGTGGTGGCAGGCGCCTGTAATCCCAGATACTCAGGAGACTGAGGCAGGAGAACTGCTTGAACCTGGGAGGCGGAGGTTGCAGTGAGCCGAGATCAGGCCACTGCACGCCAGCCTGGGCGACAAGAGCGACTCCGTCTCAAAAAACAAAACAAAACAAAAACAAAAAAGATGATCGGTCTCAAACTCAAAAAGGGTTAAGTGTCAACCTATGCTCTTAACCAACAGCTCTGCATTAACTCCATGAGTTTCCTGATAGCTCCCAGACCAGCTGTGAGATCAGTGGCACTGTCCGATGCTGATGCTGCCGGGCGACTATTTGCCTTACATAAGAAAGGACCCTAGGCAGGAGAAGATGAAGAGATGTTTAAAAAAGGCTATGACAGAAGGCAGAGCAAGGCAGTTCTCCCAAGCAACAAAGTTATAGAGATCAAAGGAGAAGCAGCAGCAGCTCTCAAAGTGTAGTACACTTCAGGTAGCTTTGGGGGCCTCTGAGACTTTTCAGCGTCTGTAGGGTGACAACCATTTTCATAATACTAAGACTTTATTCGCCTTTTTCACTTTAATTCTCTCACAAGTGAGAGGCATTTTCTTTTTTGAGACAGAGTCTTACTCTGTCACCCAAGATGGAGTGCATTGGCGCAATCTCGGCTCACTGCAAGAGGCTACTTGACATGTTAGACTGAATGAAGCAGCGGGTATGAGAATCCAGCTGTCTTCCATTAAGACATATTGAAGAAACTTGCAAAAATATAAAATATTCCCACTCTTTTTTGATTTTTTTGTTTAGGAACATTTCTTTTTCACAAAATATGTCAACGTGTAATGGGCTTACTATGGTTATTTTCTAATCTATCAATCGATCAATATTTAAAATTTTTGTTTTAATTTATTTTTATTTTTTGAGAAGGAGTCTAGCTGTGTCGCCCAGGCTGGAGTGCAATGGTGTGATCTCACATCACAGCAACCTCCGCCTCCTGGGTTCAAGTGATTCTCCTGCCTCAGCCTCCCGAGTAGCTGGGATTACAGGCGCCTGCCAACACGTCTAGCTAATTTTTGTATTTTTAGTAGAGATGGCGTTTCGCCATGTTGGCCAGGCTGGTCTCGAACTCCTGACCTCAGGTGATCTGTCTGCCTTGGCCTCCCAAAGAAAAATTTGTTTTAATTTCTAATACAGTCAAAATCGATAGATGTAATCCACATAAAGATCTTTGAGGATCTCGATAACTTTTAGGAAGGTAAAGGAGTCCTGAGGTCATCGTTTGGAGGAACCAAGAGTTCACGGAGGAAGAGGAAGAGGGACTTGCCAAATTCTCTGACACCTGCCATGCCGTCCTACCCTGGCACTCAGGAAGAACTCGGGACTTGGAGCAGCCACAAGCTCGGCCACTTCGTAGCTGCGTGGCTTTAGGGACCATGCCCCGTCCCCGCCGTGCAGCTACAGGTAACTGCAGGTTAGGAACTGGGCTCCGCGCTCGACAATTAACTAACCCAGCGGAGTACTGGCTGCTGGTGCGGGGGGTACTGGCATCCTCGTGTGGCGACGGATAAAACGTGAAGCTGAAGTTAACCAACTTGCACAGGTCGCCCGGCCGTTATGTGGGGACCCCGGGACTCGAACTTTGGCTCCACAGCCGAGCCAATCTCGCTACCTGCCCCTCGTCACGCCCTCCGTTTCCACACCTTTAACGCTTCAAAAATAGAAGGTGCCGCCCAAGTGGCTGGAAGGAGCTGAGGAAACGACTCCAGAAGAAATCACCACTGACCACGACTCCCGCCGGCCCGCCCCGGGGAGCCGAGTCGGCCGACCGTCCCCTCCCCCGCCACCTTCCGCACCGGCCTTCCCGGACGGTATCCGCGCCCGTTTCCGCTCAGAGGAAGCCCCCTGCCTCTTCATGCTCCACGCGTTCTTCCTCGTGCGCCTGCAGTTTGCACTTGGAGTTTGGGATCCTGCGCGCACGAGCAAACAAGCTAGTCAACAGCTGCGCGCGCCCCTGCGCGCATCCCCGACGCCTACGCCCCAGCAGCCCCCGCGAAAGCGAAGTCGCAACGCAGGCGCACTTCTGTTCACTCCGGTCCCCAGAGAAGGCGGAGTTCCCGCTGCCCGACCCGGAAGTGCTTCTCTTTTCCGTGGCGGAGAAAGGAGACCTCAGAGCTCTGGGTTGTGGAAGAGGTGGCCGTGCAGTGTCATCAGTATGCAGCGATTGCTCTTTCCGCCCTTTAGGGCCTTGAAGGGGAGGCAGTGTCTGCAGCTCCTGGCTCCTAGGGCAGCGCCTAGAGCACAGGTACCGCACTGCAGCGGACTCCGAGTCGCGTGAGCGGGGATGGAGTGAAAGGGCCGGGATAAAGATGATGGAGAGCCCCACATCACGTTTCCGGAGCTCCTTACAGTTTACTCACAACGCATTTCCTTGTGTTCAGAGCCCCTAGGTTCAGATCTGGACCATTGACCTGCTGTGTGGTATTGGCCAAGTTAATTAAACTTTCTGTTCATCGATTTCCTTATCTGTAAAATGGGGATAACAATACCTACTTTAAGGTTTGTTATGAGGATTACATTCTTTAATATACATCAGGCCTTTAGCACATGGTAAAAGCTTAGTAATTTTTACCCTTATAGTTTATTTTTGCTTAAAAAGTTCCAAGTAGTCAGGTGAGGAAGTATAACTGCATTCTACAGAGAAGGAAATTGAGGCTTAAAGTTACTTTTCTAAAAGTGATTCAGTTAATCAGAAGTAGGAAACTGAGCATGAATCTTTGGACTCATAGGGGTATAGTCAGAAGAGGGCATGCATTTGTTTAACTAGTAATTATTGAGTGGTTATTATATATTAGGAACTGGAAAAAGAAAGATAAATATTATAAGACTCCTGCCCTGGAGGAAGTCAGTTTATTCATTTGTGAAATCTTTATCATGGTCTCGTTATATAAAGGAACAGTGTTAGAAACAAAGGTAGCAGAAGGGAGAGAGCAAGACTGACCAGACACTGCTACCCCAAAGCTCATAGTTTAGTGGGAGATACAAACAGATGAAACTGAAGGGACAGCGATGTGCTGCATAACAACATTTTGGTCAACAGTAGGCCACAGATACAGTCATGGTTCCGTAAGATTATAACAGAGCTGCCTTTCCAAGTGTACCTTTAAAAAAAAAAATCTTTTTCTCTAAATTTCTTTTTTAGAGACAGGGTTTTACTTTGTCACCCAGGCTGGAGTGCAGTAGCATGATTATAACTCACTGCAGCCTCCAACTTGGAAATCCTGGGCTCAAGCATTCTCTTGCCTCAGTCACTTAAGTAGCTAAGACTACAAGTGTGTGACACTGTGCCTAATTTTTAAAAAAATAGAGACGGGGGGTCTTGCTATATTGCCCAGGCTGGTCTTGAACTACTGGCCTCAAGTGATCCTCTCACCTTGGCCTCCTAAAGCCTTGGAATTGTAGGCATGAGCCTTTGCACCTGGCCCCATTTTTAAATATTTTATACCATATTTTTACTGTAATTGTTCTATGTTTAGATAAACAAATACCATTGTGTTACAGTATTTGGTACGTAACATGCCATACAGATTTATAGCCTAAGAGCAATAAGTCATACCATATACCTCAGGGGTGTAGTAGGCTGTATCATCTAGATTTCACTAAGTACTTCTTTTTTTTTTTTTTTTTGAGAGGTGGAGTCTCGCATCAACGCATAGGCTGGAGTGCAGCGGTGAGACTGGCTCACTGCAACCTCCGCCTCCCAGGTTCAAGTGATTCTGCCATTTCAGCCTCTCAAGTAGCTGGGATTACAAGCGTACGCTACCACGCCCAGCTAATTTTTGTATTTTTGGTAGAGACGGGGTATCACCATTTTGGCCAGGCTGGTCTTAAACTCCTGACCCAAGTGATCTCCCTGCCTCGGCCTCCCAAAGTGCTGAGATTACAAGTGTGAGTCACCACACCCAGCCTTTAGATTTGTGTAAGTACATTCTGTGAGGTTCACACAATGATGAAATTGCTTAAGAACGCATTTGGCAGAACATGTGCCCCTGTTGTTAAGTGATGCTTGACTATACATTACAGTGTATTAAGGGCTGTCCAGTGTGCTGTGGGAGTGACCTATTGCAGACCTTAAAGAGCCTGGGAACAATCCCAGAGGAGGTGACATGTAAGCAGAGATCTGCAGTAGGTATTATTAATCAGGCGAAAGGAAGTGTACAAGCCAGGAAGAAATGTTTAAAGACCTAGAGGTGAAAGAAAATATTCCATATCTGTAAGTAGAGTGAAGTCTGAGGGAAGTATTCAGAGATGAGAAAATTCATGTAGTTGGGGATAGGTTTGAGTGAGGCTAGATTTGAAACCAATTGGAAAACCAGCTGGAAGGTTGATGCAGTAATCCAGATAAGAGATGATGACTTACCAAGACATAGCTGTGGGGATGCTACGGTACTTCACCCTAATCAGAATGGGGTTGAGTGTGGGTAGCAGCCATTCCCTGTTTATCCAGTTGTAATTTGTCTATCTTGATCTTTAGTGTGATTGCATCAGGCGCCCTTTGAGGCCAGGGCAATACAGCACCATCTCTGAAGTAGCTTTGCAATCTGGAAGGGGTACAGTGTCTCTTCCCTCAAAGGCTGCCGAGCGGGTGGTGGGCCGATGGCTCCTGGTCTGCAGTGGAACAGTGGCTGGAGCAGTTATTCTTGGTGGAGTAACTAGGTGAGTAATTTGCTCATAGTGAGTCAGGTATTTTGATCATAAGTAGAAGCACAGGTTGACTGAGGAGAAAGGAATTTTTTTTTTTTTTTTGAGACAGAGTCTTGCTCTGTCGGCCAGGCTGGAGTGCAGTGGTGTGATCTCGGCTGACTGCAACCTCCGCCTCCTGAGTTCAAGCGATTCTCCTGCCTCAGCCTCCCAAGTAGCTGGGACTAGGCACATGCCACCATATCCGGCTAATTTTTTGTATTTTTAGTAGTGACAGGGTTTTACCATGTTTGCCAGGCTGATCTCGAACTCCTGACCTCAGGTGATCTGCCCACCTCGGCCTCCCAAAGTACCAGGATTACAGGCATGAGCCACCGCGCCCAGTTGGAGAAAGGAATTTTACAGAGCATCTAGTCTAGCTCCCTTATTGTACAGATGGAGAAACCGAGGCCTTAAAGAAGGAACACGTCTGATGGCTTGCCCTGCTATAGAACATTTAAGTGTTTTATTAGTAGGAGCCTTCTATAAAGACTGGTTTATATCTTAACTGGTACCTGTGCATTGTTTATGTATCTTTTGTCTTTCAATTAGAGTCCAAGTTTGTCTCAAAACTTTTTTTACAGTTTGTTTGAATTAAACCCAAAGAAGTTCTGTGCATCACAATTGGTTCATGTTTCTTAGGTTCATTAAAATCTTTAAAGAGACTATAGATTTAGATATTCCTCCCTTTCCCCCTCTTTTAGTTGCTGAGGAAACTCGAGTCATTTGTCCTATGGTTATGCACAGTCTAGATTTTGCTGATTGCATAACCATGTGATATTTAACATGTTCCTTTATCCCCTCTACTTCCTGTGAATGAGTAGTTTGATCAGATTCAAATTGGGGATGAGGGAGCAAAATACTTCAATAGGTGAATAGAACATTCATGAATATCTGGTGTGTATTATAGATGTTAACAGCCATTAATTACCATCGCCTGGATCCATTTTCATTAGCATAGTAAAATTGTAACATTTTATTAGCTCAACTCTAAAAAGCTTTCCCTCATCATCAATCTGGATATCCCAAGGTATAATTTGTATAGGAAAGGCAGGATAAATACTTAATTCTTCTTTCCCTTTATTTACCAATTTTCAAAATAATAAATTGGTCGCCCAAATCCTCCAAAGGCAACAAATAAAGCATTTGGATTTTTAAGGCTTATTATGAGATCATAGGTTCAAACACACTTGATAATGTTTCAGTTTGTTGTGATGATGGTGTTAGTGATTTGCTCAGATTGTGCCATCTTTAGTCAGTGGGCATCTCCTGAAATTGGCTCTAGTGACTTTTTGGCAGGACCCTAATTACCTTTGATAGCTTCCTTCCTTTCTAGCATGACAAGATATTCCAAGCTCATCTTGTACATTTCTTGCCTCAGGCCTAAAATCAGCCTTTTACTTTAGGAATCCTAACTCCTTTTGGTGAAGAAGTTTCTGGTTTTAATCAAATATACCTTCCTCAAATTCTCTTCACATTCCACGTCCCTTATTTCAAAATACCTTATGTGTTATATAGGTTGTTATGAGCAAGTGCAACAAATTTGAATGTATTGTCTTTAAATTCACCCAAGAATCTAAACCGGTATACATGTAACAGATCTCTTTTCCTTGGGTAAGGAATGTTGGTTATGCATTTAGAACAGATTGCTTTGGCTGTAGGGGTTGAGTTTGCCTGTCAAGGAATGCTAGTGGAACAAAGAATTGGGAAAAACAATAAAAAAGAAAGAAAAGGATTGAGAGAATATAAGGGTAAATAAATTTGTACCTGATGGCAGCTGTTTCTGACAAAATTCTAAGCAGTAAGAGAGAAATGTCTCAAAAGAGGAAACAATTGTGTTTACCTTTAACGAGGTTAAGTTCAGATCCACTTGTTGCTATAAACCTTTTGTGAGTAATCCAGCCTTACACATACACCCCAACATTTCTTTCCTATCCTAAGGTTGACAGAGTCTGGCCTCTCGATGGTAGATTGGCATTTAATAAAGGAGATGAAGCCACCTACAAGCCAAGAGGAATGGGAAGCAGAATTCCAAAGATACCAGCAATTTCCAGAATTTAAAATGTAAGTATGAAAGAACATTAGGTAAACATCCCAGTAGGCCCATTTGATCTTTTGCACTTAAACCCTTCAGAATGGTTAGATTATTTCATGATCTTTGGTTCAGTTATGTTTAGTCAGCTTCTCTTCTAAGCCTCCAAATCCAAAGTCATCCTGAGGTCGTTGATGAGGAAGAGGGCAGACCTACCAAGTTGCAGGACTGAGAAAGAAAGTTTTTGCTTCCATAAGAAAAGAAAAATCAGAAGGATGTTTCCTCCTTCTTC